ATAGATAGATAGATAGATAGATAGATAGATAGATAGATAGATAGATATACATATATACATATATATACATACATATACATATACATACATACATACATACATACATATATAATTTTATTTTTTTTCTTAAGTTTTCGCAGGTACTTACATGTATGTTATTCAGCTTTGTTCGGGTATTTTCCCACGTCATTATAGTTGTGCTTTTAAAGTTGTAGCAACGTTTCGGCAGATTCTCATCTGCCATCATCAGGCCTGATGATGGCAGATGAGATTCTGCCAAAATGTTGCTACAACTTTAAAAGCACAACTATAATGACGTGGGAAAATACCTGAACAAAACTAAATAACATACATACATACATACATACATACATACATACACACACACACACACATACATACATACATACATATATTTGTTTTCTGAGGTTTTCGCGGGTATTTGTGTGTGGATCTTTGGTTATTCGGGTTTTCTCCCGCGTAAAATTGGAAGTATCTAGGCGATGTTTCGATGAAGTCTCATTCATCATCTTCAGGCTTGTGTCTTCGGCTTTGTGCTTCTTGGAGTAATGTGAGCTTGCAGCTGCTTCTTCCTTTTAACTGCTAGTGGGGGTGTGACTTGATTGGGTGGGGACTTGGCTGTGTTCTGATTGGCTGGGGATGTGTTCTCATTGGTTGGGGGGTTGGCTGTGTTCTGATTGGTTGGGGGTGTGTTCTGTTCAGGTGGGGGCTTGGTTGTGCTCAGGTTAGTCTTAGTTGCTGGGGGATTTGAGCTGGTGAGCTGTGATCCTGCTGTTTGGCTTCGCGTTCGTGGTCGTGCCACATCTTCATGGTGGGCGTCAGTTCGCTTCATGTATGGGTCGGAGGGGTTTGAAGCGGGTAGTGGTGCAGCTGTGCTACGGCTTCTGGTCCGTGGTCGTGTCTCATCTTCTGTGTGGGTGTGAGTCTGCTTTCTACGTGGAAGTGTGGTGGTAGCATCTTGTGTGGCCCTCGTGCGTGTGGGTCTGGTGTCATTCTTCATGTTAGGTACTCATTTGTTCATGAGGGCGGGTTTCCAAATGGCTGGTAGGCGGGAGGTATCATCTCATTTATTCATGTTGTGTGGGCGTTTTTCTATCTCTATGGCTTCTCTGATTATTCTGTTGTTGAAGTGTTCAGTTTTGGCGATAGTTCTGGTATTTTTAAACTCAATCTCATGTCCTGTGGCTTTGAGGTGTTGGACCAGGGAAGAGGTCGGTTCTTCTTTTTTGATTGATATATATATATATATATAATAAATTACCATAATGGGCAAACAGCAATTTTGAATTCTAAATATAGCACAATATGGGAAACTGGCAAAATATAGTACACTATAGGAAGCCAGAATGAAAACTTTAACTTTCTGGTGGGCAAAAGTGGACAGTTTGACAACAAAGTCACATACACTGAAATCTTTACCACTCAATTTGAAGCCTTATTTTCTCCTTCCCAATGAACCTATTAGGGAAACTGTTTTTGCAACAGCGCATACAACTGTCAACAAGAAAACTGAAAAATGAGGAAAATATTTAGTGATCTAGATCAGGGAAGGACAACTTTGAGGGGTGGCCTTTTTCACCATTACTGCTACTGTTACTGCTTCTTCTCCCCTTCCTTCTTTTTCTTTTTTAATAGAGCAAAAGCCACAGTATATAGGATAATGAAATAAATTTTAAAAAACCATGGAAAAGCTGTAACACATGGGAGCAAATCTATGCTACTTTTTAAAATCTGTGTTTGGGTGAGGTTTGGAAGGTTTTTAAAATATGAGATCAACTTTATATTATAATGTATATGTTTTCTACTTTAGAACAGCAGTAAATAATATTGCTGGTTTACTGCTGCAGTGGTCATATGAAGCTCTGAAGCCCATAAAGGAAAGAGATCACATGCAACTTTGGGAATCAGGTTGTTTAATTTTAAACACTTCATCTCAAAGTATGAATGCACCGCAGGTCATGAGCAATGATTCTGAAAGACTCAATCCAATCATTCTTCCTAATAGTTTAGAGCCAGTCAGCAATTAAGCACAGGAGTTTCATTGATTCCACTACCAATTTTTACATACTGTTAAAGCTGCAACATTAAAGATGCCAAATGCATTACAAAGCCACGGAAAGACATCATTACAGAACTGTATTATTATAGGCTATTATTGCTTTCACAGAATACTTAACCTACCGTTTCTGTAAAGACACATTTTCTTCCATCCCTGCTTTAAAATATTACCTTATGAATTATAGGTGTAATATCTCAGAGATACGGGCCATAATTAATGTCTGCATGCCTTGACTTCTGCTGGATCAAACTATTACTGAAACTCAGTATAAAAGAAACCTTCAGTGGTATAAAAATTCTGGAGAAACAGGCCTAGACACAATTTAATAAAATAATACTTCCTTTAAATAATTAACCAGACTATGGCATTTCTTTAATATTACCAAGGCTTTCTTCCTTTTTCAGCATTATTACTGTGTGTCACCCATCCTCCAGAAGCGTGCTGTTCATAGTAATAATCTAGTCAGGAGTGCAGGAACAAAGTTTAAGATGCAGAGTACCCTGAAGGAAAACTGTATTTATTGCTTCAGGTTTGTTTCTTCTTTGCCATCTGCATGATTTACTTACCATCTGTGGCTGCCATGATTTTAGCAATAAAATCAGATACACTTTTAAAAAAAGAATTTTGTTTTATCACTCTTTTCCTTAATTATTATGTTTAAGGCTTGATTGTTACCAACTAACAGCCAAATGTCAAAAGTAAATTCATGACAAACATTACAATAGAAGTATGAAGTGGGTAATTTCTGGATAAACTGCAGTAGACAAGCAAACTCCTCAGTCTGTCACCCAATTAACTACAACAGCAAAAAAATATCTCTTTTAACATCTTAAATTATACTTCTGAAATCAAGATAGATAGTTGACTTCTCCATAGAAAGAATGAAATTAGTTCAAATATTGAAACACATTCTTGGGGTCAGTTTTTTTTTTAAAGCATGCAGTGTATTTTTCACATGCAGCTTCAACTGGTATATCACAATTTTGGAATAAAATGAAATGGATCCCAAGCTGAAAATTTACACATGCCTGCTTTGGTAAAATCTTTTAATATATACTGAAATATTGGTAAAACAGGACCAGTGAACATATTTACTAAAAATCACCCTCATTTATAAAATGCCAACATACAACAAGCAATCCTACTTTAATGCTGAAGTATATGAAGCATCTAATATTTCTTGGTAGCATTATTAATACAATTCAATTGCTTTTCCAGTATTAAGTTGCTTTTCCAAGGTAGTCTGATAACCCCTTTCAAGCTTTCATCACTTCATTAGTATTGTAAATATTTCTGGCCTGGAAAAGAAGAGCTATTTGAGTTATTGCCTTATACAAGAAAAGAGGAAAATTAGGAAGGAAGCACTACCGTTAGCCAAAGCTAACACTCAACAGGATATCATGCCTAAAGTACAGTGTGTAGACAGCCTGATAAATATGAGTTGAGGCTGAGGTAATTTCCATTGAAAAGTATCATTAATTTTCCACCACCTATGTGTATCTCAAGGGACTACTACAATTACAAGGCTGACCTACTGAAAGGTATAAGGTTAACAAACTTCCAGGAGAAAAAAAGGAAGAGAAAGAGGCTGAAAACAGCATCAGATTATACCTTTAAAATTTAAACCATTCTTTCACAGTGGTATGTTGTTTAAGAACAAAGCAAAATTCATACTGTGCCTTTGGTTAGTGACACCTACCAGATAAATTCTGTAAGCATCAATCCTCCTGATTTGCCCCCAGCACTTGTCTGTGTCATTATACTTTGTCTCATCTTCCACACTGCATGAATGATTGCTAGTCACAGTACTGACAAAAAGAAGCAAAACAGAATATTAATATTCATCTGAATATGTGAAGACCCTTATTCATAAATATACATAAAAGTATGTCCATAAAACAGTTACAGATCAAGTAATAACAGCTTTTTAAGCAGCAGATGATGTAGCTAGTATGACAATTGCAACTATTCCTTAGCTAGTTGGTTATGGCAATGGTTTTCTATTCTGCAGTTACTTCTTATCATTGTAATACATTCTTTGTGGGCTGCCCTAAGCATTCAGCATTCATGCCACAGTTGGATTATTAACAGGTACATTTAGCTTGCATTGAATATTTGCATACATTGACAAATATTTTTCAGGAATTCAAGTGCTGGTTTTCACTTTCAAAGTCCTAAATAGCTTGGGGCCTATCTGAGAAACAATTTGAGCTGCAAACAAATATTAAAATTTGCCATTAGTTTGATTTGTGTGTTATCAACTCTTAGCGACCACATGGATAGATCTTCTCCAAGATGATCTGTCCCCAACCTTCAAATTTCTCAATGGCATACCCATTGCCATTCTTAATAGAGTCCTTTTCCTTTCCTGCTGATTATCATTGTGAGCTAGATTCATGATTATTTCTAACAATGGTTTTTAAGTATAGTCTGGCTCTTTTAAGTTTTTCAGTATAGTCTGAATTTCAGTTTAAATTTCAGTATAGTCTGAAATTGACTTGAAAACTGGGATAGAAATTGAAGCAAGCACATCAGTACATAGTCAAAACCATCAATATGAAATAACATAATATTTTAGCTTTTTTAGTAAATGAATACATCCACAATATTGTTACCAAATGCATACCTACCAAGTCACTTGCATGAGAGAAACTGGGACAGCAGCTGCATAGATTGCTAGATCACCATATAAATAGATGATTATACAGAAGTAAAACAAATTCACTCCCACTACAAAGAAAAATGAAAAAAATAAAATAAACTATTGCAATTCACAAAATTTTATCACATTTTTTTTTAAAAAAAGCTTAATATTTTAATCATGTCTTGTTGAAAATTACTTTTTTAGAACCCATGGATGCTGAAACGAAATGGGCTCAAAACACTGCTTGAAAAAAAGAATCTAATCAATGCATAGTGGAATTAAATCTTGCAGGCAAAAATATGGTATCTATCTAGTATCTTAAAATCTGTAACATTGTTTTCTATAATTATTTCAAAATGTTACATTAAATACACACACACGCATACACACACACACACACACACACACACACAGAGTACTTTTACACTGCCCAATAATAATAATAATAATAATAATAATAATAATAATAATAATAATAAGACAACGACAACAATAATCCTATTAGCAGATTTCTACAACCTAGAGTAGAATACCTGCTACCCAGACTGCAATTTGCATCTGTTATTTCACTCAGAGTATATAAAAATTATGGTAGGTGCTGTATGATCATACTGAAATTTCATTTTATCAAAGCATACAGTAACCCACTTTGTCAAGGTAGTCCTTGATTTCAGACTGGCTCCAAGTTCCAAAGTTCTACCTGGGGAGTACTTACAACCTGGATTCGAAATTCTGATGATTGCTCCCCCCCCCCCGCAGTCATGTGATTTCACTTTGGGCACCTGGTAACTGGGCCACATTTACAAAATGTTGGCAGACTTTCATGATGTGTTTTGCAACCAATTTGCTGAAAACCAGCATTTAGTTCCAGTTTCCAAAATTGGATATGATTCTAATCTTGCCAAATTATCATATGATTTACAAAAGGCTATGATGCAATACTTTTTCTTTACAATTTGGGGACAAAATTATTGATATGAAAAGAAGCTTTTATGATCAGACATCAAGAAAGATAAAGAAATTCACAAACACATCAGCTTGTTTTTCAAAAAGGAACTGAAATAACTCAATCTAAACATATTTCATTTTCAAAGTAATCAGGCCAAGGACAGAAGGTATTAATTCAAAGACAGAAAGAAAAAAGGAACATAAGAAATAAAAAATGGAGTATATTCAGCTTAACACTAGGAATGGTCTTCCCCAATCTATTTGTGAGGATGGAATATATGTGCTAACAGTTATATAAATATGCACCGACTGTATACATAGGCACAATTCTATTAAAACAAAGTATTTTTCAGTCCAGTTTAATGGTTGATGATTTCATAAACATGTCTATATGTTTTGGGCAACAATACATTTGCAAACCACCTATATCTCACCAGTGTTGAGATTAACTCCATGCCTGCTCAAATAAATAAATAAACAATTTAAATAAATAGTAAATAAATTGTCAACTTTTTCTTCTGAGTTTTGGCTTCCAATCTAGCCTATTAATTATACTTATTTTTCTTGACAGTCTCCCTTTCTAGTATAAAACACATCTGACTCTACTCAAGTTTTGAGATCAGCCAAGGTCACCGCTAGCAAAATACAAGTACTACAACAAATGGCAACTCTCTTTTCTTGGCCAAAATAATGCCTTTTACATTAAAAAAAAAAATCTCCCCAAACAGCAACATGATGTCTTCTAAATGGGGTCAAGGAAAAAGTCTTGCATGTCTTCAGAACACTTTGCTCAAAAGATAAATGGAAATGAGCACTATTCACCTATGCCATTGTTCAGCAGTATTAATTCTGTAACTGTTTAGCATATATTTTCCCCATCATAATTTGTGTCTCACTTCCTGAAAGAGTATGTTGCAGCCTGACCTGATGCAAAGCTTGGACAGGCAGTCATTTGTTTGAAGCATCTGGCTCACCAGTAGTGACAAGCTTTCTAGTTTCCTCTATACTGAAACATGATCAATGTCAATTATATGTATTTTTTAAACAAATAATTATCTATGAACTCCAGTAATCACCAATATATTTTTGCCTGCTGAGGTCTGTGGCCAGGCTGGGTTTTCACTTACCTTACAACATGTTCCTCTCTAGATACTTATTTGAGGGTTCTTTATGACCACCCAGACTTCAACATCCAACTAAAACCAATGATGCTAGGCGCGTAGAGTCTGTTGCATATGCAAGTTCAAATTGTAACACTAGAGGAAATTCACTTTCTACTTTCTAGGGAAGTATTATGTCAAAGCCCACTAAAATGTGTATCATCATGAATTAATGCATCACACAATATGCAAAAAGCACAGTGCATGCCAGTTTCAATTGCTAATTGTATAAGTGGGCAGTGCAGCAGAATCGCCACCCCATTTATAAAACCTCCATGTCAGGATTCCGGCAGTTGCCCCACTCCATTCATTATATAACTTCAATAGAAAGAGCCATCCATTAATTTATTCCTAGTATATCTGTGCCACTGTATAGCCCAGAAATGGTTCTAAGCAATGATATTTCATAATGAATAAGTCAAATCATTTTAGAGTATGCTAACAGATGGAAACCAGAAAAAAATCTTGTTTATGCCTACAACATATTCTTCTCCTAAAAATATTTTTGTTCTTAAAAATTATTAAAACTCTTAGTGTATCTTAAGAGGAAGGCATAAAAACAATTTTAAAAACACAAAATACTAGCTATCTATTAATACTGATATGTCTATCAGTAGAATAGAATAAAAACAAAACTATTTCTCTGCAGTAGTAATCAGTAATTATGTCCCCACATTTAGATATTCATAATATTAAAATGAGACAAAAGCAGCATGGAAAAGCATACTTGTTCCCAGCTTGGGCTTTATTATTTTTAAAATAGTAAATAGATTAAAATATTCATTAATTCTTTAACACCCATTGCAGCTTTTCCCCCAACTAAATGTACAAAAACTGCAGCTATAAATGCTTATTAAAATCTTATTCAAAGAAAAAAATCAAATTCAAATTAATCTAAAACCAAATAAAACTTGAACATTAAAGACATTATTCATGCATATTATTTATTAAACTATAATGGATTTTTGTCAGCCCTTTTGTAAATGCTAAATTGAATATATAGTCCCATTAGAGAAAAAAATACTCTTAATTAGGAGAAAGAGAAATTATTCTCATGAAACTCTGACAAGAAAATGAGTTTGGAATAACATTCAAGTTTAAAGTCACTCATCTAGCAAGTTCAAGATAGCATTTTCAACTTTCTAGAACAGTTAGGTACTATCAGGTTGATCCAACCAGGGTTGGTCACTGGGACCAGAGGTTTACTCTTCTGACTTTCATACTTGTGGTGGAGCCAATCATTAGGGAACTTCTCTCTACCAGAATGTGTGCTTTTGGGTTATTCTATGCATAGTATTTATGTGGTGCCTGGTTGTGTGTGGCTTTTTAGTTGTTAATTAGGATGCTGATGGCCAACTATTAAATCGTTGCCTGTTTTTTCCTTGTGCTGCCAAGTTCTCGGATCCTAATACCTGATAAGCTGGTGGTAAATCAGCACTCCTGTTGACTGTCAAGGGGCCCATTTTCCAGGCTTCAATCATTTGCCTGGCTATTTTTATACCCACTCGGCCAACAATGTTAGTAGTTGTGAAATTAAACATATGTCCTTGTTCATTGCAATGTGAAACTACTAATGAGTTCAGGCCTCGTCACCCGACTGCTCGCTTATGTTTTTGCAATCTGGTGGTTAGATTCCTCCCTGTCTGTCCTATACTGTCTATCAGGTTGAATCTCAACTCCGATGAATTTGGGCCACAGATTCACTATTTTACCATTTTAACAGGCCCCTACTAATAAATAAGCTCTTCAAAGGACATCCCAGTGATCACCTTGACTTTGTCCTTCCACGTTACTTTCTGTCTCCTTTTGTTTTTATTTTTCTCATGCACCCAAAACGTAATTTTTTTTGCTAGTCTTTTATAATCAGGTGAACAAGTATACCCATGTAAAACCCTTTCCCCCTTTTTTCAGCCAATGTAGACACATAAATATAAAGATGATATAACTGAACAAAAACCTACAGTATAAAAATATTGTCTATTCAACATAAAATTAACAGATATGCCATTGCCTTCCATAGAAAAAATAAGTCCACCTTTAATATTAGATTATTACTCCCTCTGGCAGAAACAACTTCAAGTAGACATTTCTTATAACTGTCTGCCAGTTTCTGACATTGAATAGGAGTAATTTTTAATTCACTCCTTCATGCAGATTGTTTTCATCTGTGCAATATTGGGAGGGATTTCTTGCATGCACAAGTTGTTTCAAATCACTCCACAGAATCTTGATGGGATTTAGACCTAGGCTTTGACTTAACCATTCCAAAAGCTTCTATTTCCCTTTTCTTTTCTTTTTCAGCCATTCTTTGGTGAATTTACTAGAATGGTTATTGCCATTGTCATGTTGCAAGGTCCACTTTTAGTTAAGCTTTTGACAGATGATCTCACGTTATCCTCAAACACCCTCTGGCACAATGATGGACACCAAAGCACTCCATACCATAACCTCGCCACCGCCTGCTTTACAGTTAGAATCAGTTTCTTCTGGTAAAATGATGGCTTTGGCTTTTTGCATGTCTTCTGATATTGTAACCAAATATCTCAATTCTTTATCTTGCATGTTCACAGTACACTGTTACAGAAGCCCCAGTCTTTGTCTAGGTGTTCATGAGCAAACTTTAGCTTGTCCTTAAATTTTTTCAGTAAGCAATGGTTTTCTCCTGACACACTTCTCATGTAGATCTAATTTGTGCAGCTAATGGAAGTCTCATGCACTTTGATACCAATAATAGTGAGAGCTAGCTACAGGTTACATGGTAAAATTCTGGGGTTTTTAGGGATCTTTTAGGCATCTTGTGAACTTGCTGGGATAGCCTGACCTCAGCAAGTTGGCACTTGTTTGAAATCTTTTCCATCTCTTAATCATCTTCTTGACAGTGGAATGATTGATGTACAATTGTTTGCAATCATTTCAAATCCCTTTCCCAGGTCATAGATGTCTATAATCTTCTTTTTGAAAATTATGAGAGCTCTTTT